GATAGAAATCAGACCCAAGATTCAGGTTATTTCACTGCCTCCGTACCAGGTATTACTGCTGCATATAATGTATGAGATAGTTAATGACGTAAAACAACCACTATTTATTTAGCTAACAATTCTGTAGGCCTGTGGTAAGGTTCTGTTGACTTGGGCTGGGCTCCATTACATGGTTCCATCCTAGGTGGGTCGCCTAGAGACTCACTGGTCTAGGATGGCCACATTTCTTCATACACAGCAGCCTACACAGCCCCTAGCTCTGGGGGAGGCTCATAAAGATGGCATGACAGACATCACTGGTGCCCTGCCCAAATGCATTAGGATTCCTTCTGCTGGGTCCTTGTGCACATCCCACAAGTAGCAGCACTCTGCTACTAAGAAGAAGTTACTGTGACCCCTTTTCAGAGGCTTGCCCTTGGGCTGCTAAAGCTTCTTGACCAACAGGGAGAACAGGAAGTTAAAAGCTCCAGCCTCCTGGCTGGCCTCCAGCCAAGAGTATGACATCTCAGCTCTCGTCCTGTGCTGAAGATAAATTGTGAGGCACAAGTGTTCCAGAATACCCCCCAGAATCAGGCCAAGGGCTGGGAATTTGCCTGAAACTGTACCTTTGATCATCCTCTTTCTAGCCATGGCCTGCTTCCCTCCTCCTTCCTCCCTCCTTCTTCCTTTCAGGGTCTGATTCCAGAAAGCCCAACCTAAAAATATTTTTTTTTTTAAGATTTATTTACTTATTTACACAAGCACTGGGTACAGTCAGAAGCGCAGGTAGGTGAGAGAATTCACCAGAGCCAGAGCGGGGAACAGAACAGGCAGACTGACGAAATACACTGCTGAGGGGAGCAGCAGGCGTGGCAGGAGAGGTCTATGCACCATGTGGGACCCTCGCTGGTGGCCGGGGATTGAACAGGGGCTGCAGAGGCTGCGGGCAGCTTCACAGCCCAGCTCTCAACCGCTGCACCAACAGGGGAGGCCCCTAAAAACGTTTTCAAACTGAATAGAGCAGCCCTGTTCATCTGGGGTTTATGTATTATTTCTTCATAAAAGTTCCACAAAGATAGCTTTCTAGCTAAAAAGTATTAAAAAAAAGAAAAAGCCCATCTCATGTAGCCCAGCTTGTTATGCAGGTGAGAGAACAAAGACATCAAGAAATGAGGCAGCTCATGGGCAGTCACATATTTCCAGAGAACAGAAGAAATTCAGGGGTCCTTTGACTAGAGTCAATTCTGTCACTAACTGGGGACTCCTACTGGGTGCCCCTGAGAGTCTGGTCCCCAGAGAGGGAAGATCCCGGTATGGGGGGCTGCATCTGGAAACAGCTTCAGAAGTGGGCCTCCTGAGCCTTTCTTCCCTCACTACTGCTACCCCTACAGGGCTATCCTCCCAGCCGCTTCCTCTTCTCTCCTCCTCTGTCCCTTCCCATCCATCTTGTTCTTCCCTTATACCTCTCTTTCCCTCCTCCCTCCACAATGTTCCTCCCTCTCTCCCACCTTCTCTGCTCAACAGCCTCATCATGACCTTCATGATCATCACTATCTTTCCCACCGGCCCCTCCCTCTGAAGAATTTTCTAGTACTAATGCTGTTTATTTTCACAAGTAAAGACTTGTGAGCCAGAGATTTGGCACAACACACAAATTTGGACTGACAGTTGTGAGGTAGCTGCTTCAAGGCATTTCCGTCAGCAGGAGTGCCATTGTGGAGATTCATGGCTGGCAAAACGGAAACATAGAAACAGCAGCCTTTCTCCTCCAGAGCAATTTTATTGGTGTTGCAGTTCACAGATCCGCGAGGCTTGATTTATCGAATGCGAGATCAATGTGAAAATACTGTCAAGCTTCTGGAACTAGGAAGATATTTAGATCACTCTACTCAAGTACATCATATTTATGAAAGGGATAGGAAGTGGGTGGATTATAAATCAGAAAGACCTGGAAGAAAAAACTCTCTCCTTTCCAAACTCAATCTTTCATGAACTTCTTTCCAAAAGGATGGATTCAATTGTAAATACCTCATATTTGTACGCATTAATTTCTTACTTCCAGTCTTTTGCAAAAGAACCTGTTTTCAGGAATTCCATGCAGTGTTTGCCCTTCCCCAGAGCCCAAACTAGGACAACCACCAAATCTAACCCTCATACCAATGTGAACTGGGGGAAGTCAGAGAATTCACGGTGTTTCATCATCTTTCTGTAGACTAAGAAATAGACTCAGGTGGCAAGGGTTATACGGAAAATCCAAGAAATAAGTCAACTCTTGTCAGAGAGTCCACAGTTCCAAGCCCAAGTCCTAGATCTACTAAAAGTTTCCTCTGTGTGGGCCTCCCTGGTGGCGCAGGCGGTTGAGCGCCACACTGTGCAGCCTCTGCAGCGCTGGGTTTGATCCTGGCCAGCAGGCGAGAATCCCGCATGACGCAGCAGACCTCTCCTGTCTCACCCGCTGCTCCCCTCAGCAGTGTACTTCAGTCAATCTGCCTGTTCTGTTCCCCGCTCTGCCTCTGGTGACTCTTCTCACCCTCCCACGCATCTGGCCTGTACCCCGGTTCTTGTATAAAAATAAATAAATCTTAAAAAAAAAAAGTTTCCTCTGTGACCTTAGGCTGCATTACACTTGGGGCCGTGGTATGGTTGAAAACAATGACCACATTCATGCCTCCCCATTTTCACACTGTTTGCATGTCACTGCGGCATCATCTCCCATTAAGAGAAGAGTCTGTCTGGGCTGGCCTTGTGGCTTGCTTCGGCCAATAGAATGCAGCAGAGATGACAGTGGACCAGTTTGGAGACTAAGTCTCAGGGCACAAGGGACTGTCCTTTCTTGGAACCAGCCCAGTCATCATATGCACACGCTCAGACCAGCCTTTGAGAGGCTGTGAGAACGCAGGGAGCCGAGATGTCAGCCAGGTGGAGGCCACCCTGCTACAGGCCACCAGGGCCCACATTAACCCAGGGAAATAGTGAGCACTATTCTCCTCCCCCCATCCCACATCAGTGACCCATGGCATCCTGAACTAAGCACATGATTATTATTTCAAGCCACTGCCTTGGGTGCTTAGGCAGCAAGATTCAACAAACATACTTGGTTTCTTCATTTCCACAAATGCACAAAAAGGGGTCAGAGATAAAGATCTCTTTTTATAGGTGCTTCTTGAAATACCAAGTCCATAAAAGGTTAAGGTCTAGAGCTCAGCTGTCCAAGAGGGCAGGTGGTTCTTTACATCTAAACTCAATTCACTGAAATCAAATCAAAGTGAAAATTCAGTTCCTTAGTCACGCTAGCCATGTTTCAAGTGTGCTTGATCGGCACACCTAGCTAGTGCTGCTGCCTGGGACAGCACAGGTACAGAATATTTTTGTAATCCCGGAATGTGCCCTGGAGCTGCCACAAGAGTGTCAGAGTGGAGGGCACAGCAGCCCTCCAGTCGTCCATGTCTACACTAGCTCTCCCAGCACATCCTGCTCCTTGGAAATATCCTTATGGTCTCCTTTGAAAATTTCAAGTCTGTTTCCAGTCTTCTGTTTTATCTAAGATACCCAAGCCACCAATTGACTGCAGGAGCTGCAAAGAAGCTCAGTATTTTAGCAGGACCAGGGAAAAAGGGGGTGTCGAGGGGGGTGTTGGTATGGAGGGGGAAGGGGGAAGTGAGGCCCTCAACAAGGCAGCAAAGTCTGCAGACAGATGCCAAGCATCCCTCCTTCAGGGGATTGCCCTAGTTTTTATTTTAAGCATCATTTTTTCCACGTTGATAAGGTTGATAGCCGACTTTATCTACATTCAATCCTTAAAAAGAAGTGAGGATTGATTTTTTTTGGGGGGGTGTACACTTAAGAGGTTTCCTCCCAATTCTCTTTTCATTTTTTTTTTTTCTTCTCCAATGCCCAGGGCTTCCTCTGACTTCAAAGAATTAGAAAAGACTCAAAGGAAAATGGGTATCTGACCTAATTAAGCATGTAGATTAAGATTTTTCTCTCTTGGTTGATAAAAAAATTCCCTTTTCCTCACAAGTCTCATTCTGATTTCTTGGAGACGAAGAAGACGTAGAGACGCACCCTCTGTTGCCCTCTGAGGCATCATCACTGCCTGGAGCTTGAGGCAAAGGAGGCATGTGGGGCCCCGAGGTCCAGTAGAAGCAAGACGTGGCCTTAGTAATAATGGTTGGGGAACTCCGCTGCTTGGATTTGATTCTCAGTTCAGATACCCTTACTTTTCTGGTGGATCCTTGATCTAATTATTTAATCTTTCTGCACCTCAGGTAGTACATTTGTAAAATGAAGATGGCAATTGCTCTTATCTGGTAAAGGGTTTGATAACTAGATACAAAGTAAGCCCTGAGAACAGTGCCTAGTGTGGAATGAAAGCTGAGGATGGCCAAAGTGGACATGGCAGTGTCCTGGTCAGGTCCTCTGGGACCCAGGGTACGGGTTCTGGGCACCCACTCTCCCTTCCTGGATGACATGCAGTTAGCAGCTTGCACCTGAAACAGTCCGTGACCGCCCATTGGGTTGCTCGGCTTGCCCAGGCAGGGAGCCCTGTGCCAGGTGTTATTCCAAGCAGACAGTTACTGATGGGGTAGAATCAGAAAGTCCGGCTCTCTCACCTTCAGGCAGACAGACAAATGATGAGCATACTCACACTCCAGAGGTGCCCTGAGTTCAGGCTAAAGCTGGGACTTTGCCTGTAATTGCTGCTTTGCTTGGCTCCTTCTTTTCTGGCCTGCTTCCTTTATTCCCACATTCCTCCTGAGAGAACTTTCAAATAACTAAGCCTGATCTTCTCCAAACCTCTTCCAACTGCCATCCCTAGGTCCCAGGCTGCTCACGCTGCTGGCATAGACCACCCTTAGAAGGACAAACCCAGAGAAAAGATCCTCCTGTGGCCCTGGGCCAAGAAGCATGTCATGTCCCCCTCCTTAGTCTTTAGATAGCAGTTCAGTTTAACTCACTGTACCACATTCCTCAGGCCATGGTAATGGGTTGCTTAATGAAATATTTTTGTTCCTTTTCAGGATGCTGATAACATCAGTGCCTGTGGAACTCCTGGACCATTTTAAACTGATAATAGTTGCTCAGAAAAGAGCAACTATTCCAGGAAGGTCATCAACAACCCTATAACTGATGACCCAGACTGCCTGGTGACTTCTCATACCTGAGAATGAAGAAAACCTCTTCCTGCCCCTCCCATTTTCTCCAAGATCATCTCCCTTCATTCACCACTTGAAAAGACAACCTTTTGGAGTGTTCACTCTACTCTCCTCCTGAGATGGCACACCACTCAGTAATAAAAATCTTCCTTTGTGGAAACAATCTCAAGGTTCAGAGTTGGGCTCTCTGAGCAGCAAGTAGTACAACCTGATTATTAGATGGGTAACATTACTGACCCTAGCTAGCAATGGTTTTCAAACTTATGCCAATTTCACAATCCTTGGAGGGCTTGTTAAAACAGATTCTGGGAATCTCTCCCTGAGATTGATTCAGTAGGTCTAAGGTGAAATTCATACCACCAAAAAAGCTAGGTGATATTGCTACTGCTTTGTGTCCTATACTTAACTGGAGCCCATGGACCTAGCAGACCCCACCTCATGGGGAGGGCACAGCTGGGAGGGTATCAGAGAGGGGATGTCTCTAAGACACAGGGTCCAAAGCAGAATCTGGTTGTCCAGCTCACAGCCATGATGTGCTAGAACATCCACAGTCATCTCAAGACCTTAGGGGCAGAGTCCGCAAGATGGCAAAAACATGAATATTGCCACTATAACAAATTACCATAAAATTAGTTATTTAACAAAACACAAATGTATAATACAGTTCTAGAGGTCCGAAGAAGTGAGTCTTAAGAGGCTAACGTTAAAGGCTGTGTTTCTTCTGGAAGCTGTAGGGCAGAATCCATTCCTATGTTTTCCAGATTTTAGAGGCTGCCCACATTCCTTGATCCCTGGCTATATCAATCTGATCTCTACCTCTATCCTCACATATTCTTCTCTGACTCTGACCTTCCCACCTCCCTCCAAGTATAGGCCTGCGCTTTCTTTGTACAAATTCTCAGCCTCATATGAACAAGCCTGAACTAGGCTGCTAGAGGAAGAGATACCATATAGAGTAGAAATAAGGTATTACAGCTCAGGCCATATAGACCAGCTAGCTCCCAGATGACTGTCCAGATGTCTATAAGTGCTGACATGTGAGAAATAAATCATGTTTATTGTATTTAAGCCACTGCATTTTGTAAGTGGTTTGTTGGGCATAATAGATAATAGATATCCGCCCTGAGTGGAGGGGCTGTTGGCAGCCCAATTGCCTTAAACTAGATCTATCCTGCAAATGTGTCATATATGACAATCACACAATACATTAAAAATCAGGGGAAAGTTACTTTTGATTTCAGACTTCCGCTTACTTTGAAATATTCGAAGAGTTGACTGGAAAGGAGCATGAGGAGACCTTCTGGATGCTGAGGACATTCTGTTTCTTGATCTGGATGCTGGTAGCTGGGAGTATGTTTTGTATGTAAAATTCATCAAGCTGTATACTTAAGACTTGACTTTTTCGTAGTTATGCTACAATCCAAGTAAAACAAAAGTTAAATGAAATAAGATAAAATAGAGCTCTTGTCACAGTGACATGAATGGAGGTGAGTGATGAATTTAAGTCCCTGCTTCAGAAGCCTGAATAAAAAAGGAGAATTAAACATTAGTTGGTCATAGTTCTCCCTTTATCCTCATTGTCCAATACCTGACTGAGTAAATAAGTTGCCTATTTCTTTTTTTTAAAAGATTTATTTATTTATACATACAAGAATCAGGGTACAGGCCAGATGTGTGTGAGGGTGAGAGGATTCACCAGAGACAGAGCGGGGAACAAAATAGGCAGATTGACCGAAGTACACTACTGAGGGGAGCAGCGGGCGTGACAGGAGAGGTCTGCCACACCATGCAGGTATCTCCCCTGCCGGCCGGCATCAAACCTGCACTGCAGAGGCTGCAGACAGCTTCACAGTGCTGCGCTCAACTGCCTGCACCACCAGGAAGGCCCAGTTGCCTATTTCTTATAGGCATCTGAGTTTGCCAATTATTTGGTTTTTTTTGTTTGTTTTTTTTTTTTTGCTGTTGTTTTTAATTGAGATAACAATGGTTTTGAACGTTGTATATGATTCCGGGGTATTGGTTCACACCACTATAAATGCATGTTATCACAGCACACCCACCACCAAAGCACAATAATCCCCCACCATAGTCCACTGGGTCCCACACCCCTTTTATACTTCCCCTGCTATCCCCTTCTGGTAGCCTCAATTCTGCAGTCAGATTTCTAGTTTTGCTTTACTTTGGTCTGTCCTTTGTTTCCTTATATTCAATATACGCGAGCAAGCATCTGGTATTTGTCTCTCCAAAGGATGTCTCTTGTTAAAGCATGTTATGGAAGCAACTTCCACTCAAATTATTGTCGTGTGTTCACCCATCTCTGTTTCTGGCTCCTTTGTTTTTTAATTATTTTGACAGTGACAATTGGTCCCCTTTTTCAGAATGACAGTTGCAATGCTGCTGCTTAAGTAGGGGTCATATTCCTGGTCTCCCTTGCATCCAGGTATCGCCATATGACCGGGCCTGTCCAATGGCATGTGGGTGGAAGTAGAGAGCATCCATTCCCTTCCAGGCCTATAGTTAAGAAGCAGCTGGGTTGATCTATAAAGACTCAGGCCCAAAGTATGTCAGCCAGATAGAGCCTGGGTGCGTGAATCAACATGTGGTGAAAGCCATTTACTGATTGGAACACCTATATTGAACTCTTAGGTGAGTAAGCAATAACATACTATTCAGATAAGCTACTGAAATATATTTGCTTCTGCTGCTAGAGTTACCCTGATTAATACACTATTCATCCTATGGTTATTCATGCATTCACTTATCCAATAAATATTCATAAAACTCCTCGTAAACAAGACACAGTGCCAACTTTCTGCCTTCAAGTTCTCATATGCTGACTTAAAGCAAGGACAGACAACTAAATGTTTGTTTGTCTGACTCTGTGGTACACCATGTGCAAGTTACTTCACAGAACCACAACATGCAAACTTCACGCAAAATCTGCACTATAGATCCGATGGTCCCTAATTTATAAATGAAGCACCTGAGTGAGAATCACAAAGTCTAAGAAACAGAAATTTCTGACTACATAACCTGTGTTTTCCCCAAGATATACTGATTCTGACAAAGGAGGTAAGATGAACAGATAAGAGCTATTAAGCTATTAAGCTATTAAGCAACTTACAGAGACATAAAGACACAGAAGAACAATGTTTAAATGACGAGGATATTTAGAGATCACTATTTTTGATATTCACACTTGCCCCGGGTGCTACTGTTCACTGATTCATCTACTGTGTTCTGGTTGAGCCCCATCCTAAACTTCTTTTTTTTTTTTTTAATTTATGTATTTATACGAGCACTGGGTAGAGTCAGAAGCGCGGGAAGGTGAGAGAATTCACCAGAGCCAGAGGGGGAACAGAACAGGCAGACTGACGAAGAAATACACTGCTGAGGGGAGCAGTGGGCACGGCAGGAGAGGTCTGTCACACCATGTGGGACCCTAGCCAGTGGCCGGGGATCGAACCAGTGCTGCAGAGGCTGCGGGCAGCTTCGCAGCCCAGCACTCAACCGCTGCGCCACCAGGGAAGCCCCATCCTAAACTTCTTTGATGGGATACTTGCAGGCCAAAAAGGCCCAAATGGTGCATGTAGTCACCAAAGTGCAATGCGGCCAAAAAGCACCATGTGAAAGGACCAGCAAATCAATAACTGGCTATACTGAGTGACCATGCTCTGCGTTGCTTTTGAAAAACTCACTTTCTTCCCTCATGAAATTAACTTGCTGAAGTCTGACTGGATGAGACCACATGTGAAATATATAAAACATAGAAAGCAATCTCATGAATTATTCTCATTCATTTATTCAACAAATAATAATTCAATATGTTCCCTGTTCCTGGTGATATGCCCAATTTTTCTCCAGATCTTAATTAATTTCAGGCACATTCTACTCAGGAATTTGCTACCTTGGCTATACACACAGTCAGAGGCTCTGCATTGCCTTGGCTATAATAATGGGGGGTTGTGTAATGGGGGGGAATGCATGTAGTTAACAACAGCACACAAAGTCTTCAGATCTCACATCTTTCCCCGCAATTGGATTGGAGTCCTATGGAAATGGTCAACCTTTAGACGTTTAAGGCTTCCCGTGTTAGTTAAAAGAGATACAAATTGCTTCCTCAGTGCATCTTCTCAGGGGAGTTGCCTGGGATAAAATGCTGAGATAGCATGAATCCATCTTTAAGCAGAAACCTGAGGCAGATGCCATTATTTTTTCATGTCATCTTAATGGGTTTGCTTTTAAAAACAGCGGCATGTTTGTGCTTGGATCTCTGGTATTTTAAATTGGCTTCTGTAATGACTGTGACTGCAGATGAAGTGGATTGAGGACCAAATGTGGCTTAGACATTTAACAAGAGTCCGCTTTCACGTAGTTTTTCTTTTCTTCTCATGTACACCTTTGCTTTTTGCTTGGCTCAAAACCATTTCTGTGTCATCTACTCAAGAGTCAACAAAATTTTTTTTTAATATATTTTTTACATCCTTTTTCATTTTTGCACAATGTATGCATTTTCATCTTGGTTAAAGTCCCCGTGCAATTCCCACCCCCCTTGTTTTGATCCTACTCCCTTCACCCCCTCCCCCCAGTAGTGTGTCTCTGGTTTATAGTTGCTTAAGAGTCAATAAATATTTGCTCAGCTCCTGTCTTGCGCCAGACTCTGAGTAGTACCCTGGGGAGATGGTGGTGTGGGGTGGCAGTCACTACCTCAAGAGGCTTTTGTTCTGAGACTGTGATCTGCTGAAAATACTTGTCCATCCTTTAATCTGTCCATATCTTTCCCAGACAAGGCCTCCATGAAGACTGTCTAACTTTAATCAACCTCAATAGTCCTATTAAGAATTACAATGAGGGCCTCCCGTGGTGGTGCAGTGGTTGAGCACTGGGTTGCAAAGCTGCCCGCAGTCTCTGCAGAGCCAGTTCAATCCCAGGCCACCGGGTGAGGGTCCCACATG